GGGTTCGAGTCCCTGACGGTGGGGGGCCGACCTGAGGCGGCAGCGGCGAGGGCGCACACCCACGCGAACCCTGGAGCGTTACAGTATATTAGATTGGACATGCCAATCATAGCAATTTCATGATCACAAATACAGACTGGCAATAAAGCAAAAATAGCAGTTTTGAGATTGTTGTCCCAGTAATTTGGGTATTGTGTCATACTGGTGACACAGAGTCATTTTTCTCTTGATTTAAGCAGAGCGTAGCAGTCATATGCGTTTTTTCTTTCTATTCATTTTCCTCCACCTTGGCATTCAACAGTTTCAATGACTTTTGCTGAAGTGCTGAGAGGTTCCAAGCTGGGCACCATCTGAGCTGGATGCCGCATCTCTGCCATGGATCCAAGAGGGAGATCACGAATATACTCTAGCTATAGTTCAGGAGGATTTGCTGGTCCACAGAGAACTGCATGGAGTACTGGCACACAGAAGGACATGATGGAAGACTCAATACTCCACATTTAGTACTTTTTTGGAATTGTTTAATGTTAGCATGCCCAGAGGGGTTGGGCAGCCAGTTGACCTTGGACCCATAGAGTTTTTTTTTCTCCTTACAGAGGAGTTTTTGGTTCCTCTCCTCCGTTGTCTTCTGGCTTTTTCTCTTTCTGGACTGTAACGTCATTTACTGTCACACTGATATGTGCCTTGGGGGCAACCTTGTTGTGAAAGGTGCTATATAAAAATAAATTGAATTGAAATTGAAGTGTGAAACAGACATTTTTGGAGAAGAGAGCTTGTGTCCTGTTTATTCTAGGAAATGTGCTCATCGCCTGTTACCAATCAGTTTTCATGTAACAAAGTAATTCGTGTGTTTCACTCAGTCAGTATTAAATGATTACAATGATGCTAAAAACAATTAAACAAAATCAGAAATCTGCATACCGTCTTTCCAATCAGCAAAAACAGAGCTATACATTTCTTTTGATATTCAGTATATACATTGTGCATATATTCCTAGACTTGGTGAAAACAGGGGTATATGTGACAGCTTACCATCTTTCTTTCGTTGGATATAAACACTGCATAAACTCCATCCTCAGGGTATTGTTTTCGAGTCATAATGTGTTCGCAGAGCTTCCAGACATTCTCTTCGCTGACAACAAAAAAAGAGTTTAATAGTCTGCATCGGTAGATTGGCAGGCGACTAGAGGTAATGTAAACTAAATTCATCATTCATGCCCTCAAATAAAAATATAAAACAGGAAAAAAGAGCGCTACTGTAAAGATTAAAAAGGGGTTATGCACACCGTTAAGGCTACAACATTCCGCAAAAAAAAACCCCACAGTAACAAACTTAATTCTATTCGTGACAATCCGGATAGCATTTAAAGGTTCCTTCAAAAGCAAAAGAAAAACCTTTTAATCATCGAAGCAGAATTCCTCTTAAGAAAAGGCATAACAGGACAATCAACTTTAGTAAATAAAAACACAAATGTATTCACTGTCCTGCCGCACAGTTTCATTGATAGTAATACAAGAGACTTATCAACAGGGTAGCGTGAATACCCTAATATCTGCTGTGGATAACTCAATTGTCCTCACCAGTAGCAGCTTGTATAGATGCAGTCTTGTCTGGAAGGTGTAATACTGCAATAATGAGATGATTCGTTTGTATTATTCATGACTCGAGGGAAGATGTCAGGGAACAGTAAAGTGAATTCCTGACTTTCTTGACTTGTTCATCTAAAAAAGGAACGTAACGCCTCCATCATGCGGACGTTAAAAACAGGGGGACTGGATATGTTACACCTTTATTGCTCCGGGTGGCAAACAACTTTTATGTAATATTTTAACCTCTTGGTGGATATAAATCCATACTGTTTTCACCCGCTTTTTATTGGTAAACCTTTATGTGTAACCTGACTATGAAAAGTATATTTAGTGTTATGCACAAATGAAAGATCAAACACTGTGGTTCAAAGCTAAACATTTCTTATAGTCATCCCTTTGAATACAAAAGCAACGGTATAGAGATAAATACTTAATCGAACTTTAACTTTACGTTAACCATAGCAATCAGAAACAGTCGTTTATACAGACTCGATATATGACTACAATAAAAAAAA